GCCAGGCGTCGTGGGCCGGCTCCGGGGAGGGGCCGCCGCAGCAAGGCGAGCTCGAGGAGGTTCCCTCCCGTCTGTCTCCTCTTTCTCCTTCTCCTCCTCCTCCTTCGGCCTCTCCTCCGGCTCTCTCTCCTCCGCCGCCCCCCCAGCTCTCCCCTCCGAACCTCGAGGCGCCAGCCCCAGTGCGACGGGTGCGCCTTGCGCAGCCCGACGATGCGCCGGCGCGTGCGCGGAGGGCCCGGGCTGCGAGTGGCCCCCCAGAGGTGAAGAGGGCTCGTCTCGAAGAGACTCCGGCGAGAACCGGATCGGGAAGTGCCGCCGTCGACCCTCCCCCGGGCCCCCCTCCCCCTTTTCCCCCCCCCGAGGCGTCGTCGTCGTCCGAGGCTGAGAGGAGGTCTACCGGGCTGTCCAGACGCGCCGAGGAACACCGCGGGACCACCGCGGGCCACGAGCCTGGGCGGTCCGTGGGCGAGCGGATCCGCGACTTCGAGTCGCGACCCCGGCGCCGCGGCCGCCCCCCTCCCGGAGGCGGCGGCGGCGGCGAGCCTCTGGAGGAGGCTTTCTTTCTTTGCCCTGGTGGCGGTGGTGGTGGCGGTGCCCCGGCCAGGCCCGCGTGCGAGGACAGTGGCTGGAGCTCGATGATTGCCGGGGATCAAGACGGCGGGACTTTTGCTGCCAGTCGGGGAGGGGGGGTCACGCTCGAGCGTCTCGCTCCAGACCAGAGGGAGAAGTTTGTGATGCCAGACAAGAACGAGCGGGGTGCGATTGTGAGTTCGGGGGCCGTGGAAGTGATCCCGCCCAACGAAGCCAGCATTGCGAGGAAGTCCCAGCCTGAGCGCGTAATCTCGAGCCGGATGGTCCGCCGATGGAAACCCATGGAGGGGGCTTTTACTGAACCTGAGGCCAAGTCTCGCTGGTGTATGCACGGGCATCGTGACCCCGACTCAGGTGCCACTTCGAGTATATGTTCCTACTCCACAGACAGCGAGCATTATGATGTTCATCCAGGCCCCATGAACCAAGGTCTTTGAGCAGATATCGCCGACGTGAAAAACGCTTTCTGCCAATCGAACCCAATGGCCAGGTCCCAGGGGCACATTTTCGTCGAGCCATGTGAAGGAGTAGAGTTGCTGGCTGGGTCCCTCATGCTGTTGAAAGTCAACGTCTACGGGCTGGATGACGCACCGGTTGCCTGGAGGAAGACAGTAGTCAAGTTCCTGGAAACGATTGGTTTTACCCGCTGTTTATTGGAACCCTGTTGGTGGATCCGTTATGGCGGACGTTGTGAAATAATAAACGTGATGTTGTTAGAGGTGGTTGATTTCTTTACTGGAAATTCCTTTTCTGAGTCCCGGAGTTGGCTCCGGGGGAAGCTTGAGTGTCGTCTTCGGTTTGTTTAGTATCGAGACTGTCTTGTCGGGCCAGTCGACTTTGCAGGCAGACGAGTGACAATCAGCCAGTCTCGAGCGCCTGTTGATCAAGAGAACATATGTTGGAGGAAATCAAGCCGATCACCGTGTGTCGAGGACGGTTGGCACGACGAGATTTTCCGCTCGAGCCCGATGAGTTTCGCGCTTTGCGGTCCTTCGTGTGCGAATTTAATTGGGTCGGGCGCGAGACGCGCCCTGAGGCAGCTGGCGTGGCCAGCATCCTGGCCAATCTCCTCAAGTGCCCGACGACTGGAGACATATTTCTCGCCAACAAGATGGTTCGACACCTTCGATCATCAGCCTCTCGTGGACTGACTCATCGTGTGGAGGTCAGACCCAGAGCGCATGGCCTTCGCGTCCTTTTCAAATGCAGGTGGTGTGGGCGCCTTCGACTATTCAGTAGACGACAAAGGGCTACCCGAGGGCCCCGCGCAGGGGGCTTGGATGGTGCTGGCCACTGACCAGAGTCTGCTCGACAACCGGTCTGTGAGAGCCTCCATCCTAGGATGGCGGAGCTCGAAGCTCCGTCGTGAGGTCCCGTCAACCCTAGCGGGAGAGTCAGGTCCTCTCGTCAGCAGTGGCCGAGGTTGAATATCTTCAGATATTGTACCGATATGTTGCGTTCAGGGATGTGGAACTGCGTGATGAGCATCGTTCATAAGGGCCGTTCACTACCGTGCTGTGCCGAGACTGTCGGCTGGGGCCCAGAGAGCGTCAGATCCATGTGGTTGACGCGAAAAGTATTTTCGACACTATGTTGAAAGAGGGTAATTCCGGGGCCAAAGACAGGAGAACGGCTATAGATCTCGCAATTATCTGCGAGTCATTAAAGAAGGCCCGGGGCCTTGTTCGCTGGATTCCACGTGGTCGTACACCAATTGATGCATTATCCAAAGACGACGTGACCAAGTGCAACGCAGCATTACTCGATTTAATGACGAACGGACGGAACATACTTATAGATGAGGAGGACGAGGTGGAGCGTAGGAAGAGTCATCCAGAGCTGAAGTGTCGTTCCCAAGCTGCACCCAGGAAGGCGCTGGGAGATTCCGGAATAACGACGTCGTGGGAGGAATACCAGTCCCAGGTTCCAGGTGGTGGTGGTGTCGGTGGTACCTCTTCTACCTCTCCCTCCCCTCCCTTTTGTCTGTCCAGTTTGAGCTTGGCCTTTCAATGATTGTCCCATCTCCTCTTGCCGTGGTGCTTTCTTTCGCTTTCAAGAGTCAGAGAGCAGTCGCCGTCAGGGTGCACTGCTGGCAGCAGGCAACAGGAGATTGCCGCCTTTGGGGATGCTAAACCTGGTAGAAATTCCGACCTGTGTAGCAGGCGTGCAGATTTCGTGACCCAGGTTTAGCATGATGATTTCTTCCATGGCCCATGGGATAGGGCCAAATGATTCGTATCGTACCCATTGTGGTTCAAGGGGAAACATTATGATGTTTCTGCTGGTGCCACAGGATGATGATGGTGATCATGCTGATGATGCTGATGATGCTGATGTTGATGCTGTTGATGTTGATGCTGATGATGCTGCTGATGAGGATGATGCTGATGATGATGGTTGGTACTATTTTCGAAGAGGAGACAGTCGGAGGGAGCAGGCATGACATAATGATGATGCTGATGATGATGATGGTGATGATGATGATGATGATGAGGAGGAGGAGGAGGAGGAGGAGGAGGAGGTATGAGAAGGAAGAGGAGCACGATCCGGAAGGTTAGGACGATAATGATACGACATGGCTACGCAAGGGGGAACGCGAGGAGAGATAATCACAGGTCAATGACGACGAAAGGGGACCAGGACGAGGACAAGGTCGAGGGACACGCACGAGGAACGGGGAGGCGTGGCTGCGAGGAAGAGCAGAGCGCGGACGCCGGCCCTCGCTGCGAGGCATGCAGTGTTACTCTCGGTTCCCCGCGATCGCCCTGGTGCCCCTAGTTCCCCTCGCATGTTCGTCGCTCCTCCCACCCCTCGTCCTCACCCCTCTTTCCCTCGCCCGCCCCCCCCGTTCTCTCCTTCCCTTTTTCCTCCTTCCTCTCCCGTTCCTTCGTTTCCTCCTCCCCGTCATCCTTCCCTTCCTCCGTCCTGTGCCTCCCCTTTCTCCTCCCTCCCTTGCTATTGTCTCCATCGTCCCTCCTCGTCGTCCCCCTTCCTCCTCGTCGTGGTCCTCTTCGTCATGCTGTCCCATCGTCCTCCCTCTTCTGCCTCTTCTTCCTTCATCCCCCCCTGTCCTTTTCCTCCATCTCTTGATCCTTCTCCTCCTCCTCCTCCGCCTCCCCCTTTGCCTCCTCCTCCCGCCTTCTCATCCTGGGCTTTGGTGCTCATAAGTTTAAACCCTCCTCTGGCTGTCGAGGTCATGCAGCCTGCTTCCGTTGATGGCCGAACCGATCCGATCCTCCTCATCCCTTCTTCTCCTTCTTCTTCCATTTTTCTTGATTCTGCTCCTCGCGCTTCTCCTTCCCCCCTCGCCGATCCTCCTCATCCCTTCTTCTCCTTCTTCTTCCATTTTTATTGATTCTGCTCCTCGCGCTTCTCCTTCCCCCCTCGTCCTTTGCCTCCCCCCCCCCGTGTCCCTGCTCGCCCCCCCTCGTGATCCTCCTCTTCTTCGTCATCGTTCTTCCCTCCCTCCTCCCCGCACTCTCGCACTCTCTCGCTCTCTCTCTCTCTCTCGTTTGCTGCATCTCTCTCTCTCTCTCTCTCTCCTTTCCCTCCCCCCCCTTCCCCCACATCGTCCATCCTCACCTCTTTCTCGTGCCTCCTCGTCCCTCCTCTTCACTCCTCCTCCCTCCCCCATCCTCCCGCATTTGACCTTCTCGTCCTCTCCCTCCTCTTCCTCCTCATCCCTCTTCCCCCGCCTTCTATCCCTCCTCTCGTCCAGGGGGTGTGAGAGGCACGTGGGGTTGGAGGTTCGGGAGGGGGGCCGGCGACTTGAGGGGAGGAGGCATCACAGGGACGGAGTGCGGTGGAAAGCCCAGGGTCGAGCGTTGGCGTGCATCAGTCAGAGTTGTGCCGACGTTGGTTCTTCTGCGACAGGCGGGCCGGTGGGAGTGGGCGGGGCCCGCTTTTATTCGCTCCATCTGTTCCCTCCTCCGTTCTCCTCCGTTCTCCTGGCTCGTCCCTGTTCCCTCTCCCCGCCTCCGTCCACCGTCCGTGTCCTCCTCCCCCTCTTCCCTCACTTTCCTGCTCCTCCCTCCCTCCCTCCCTCGCTCCTTGGCCTCCGCGCCCCTCTGCCTTCCCCTCTTCCATCCTCCCCGCCTCTTCTCACCGGCTCTCCTGCCCCCTTGGCGTCTCGTGCCAGGGTCCCTGACGCCTAGTTCTCTTTCTGCTCATCAGTCCGTGGGACGCGTTGGTCTCGTGGCGCACCACTACCAGCACGGGATCCTTCCTATTCCCCTCCTGCCCCCGTCCTGCCTCCCTCCTGCCCCTCCTGCCCCCCTTCTCCTGCCTCCTGCCTGCCCCTCCTGCTCTCCCTCCTGCCCTCCCTCCTGCCCCTCGGCTCTCCTTTCCCCCTGCTGCCGTGCCCGCCTGCGCCGTGCGGGGCTCCCGCCCGCCCTCGCCCGCCGCCGGAGGACTGGTGCTGCCGCCACGAGGCGCGCGGCTGCGCGCCTTTCACCTGCGAGGAGGAGCCGGGCCCGTAGAAAGAAGGGTCGCGGGAGGAGGGAGGAGGGAGGAGGGAGGCGGCGGCGGACGATGGTAGTGTCGCGAAGACGTGCTCGACGTGGAGGGGGGAGGGGGAGGAGGGAGGAGGGAGGAGGGAAGGAGGGAGGAGGGAGGAGGGAGGATGGAGGAAGGAAGAGGGAGGGGGAGGAGGAGGAGGAGGAGGAGGAGGAGGAGGAGGGAGGAGGAGAGGAGGAGGAGGAGGAGGAGGAGGATGGAGGATGGAGGATGGAGGATGGAGGATGGAGGATGGAGGATGGAGGATGGAGGATGGAGGATGGAGGATGGAGGATGGAGCATGGAGGATGGAGGATGGAGGATGGAGGATGGAGGGTGGAGGATGGAGGAGGAGGAGGAGGAGGAGGAGGAGGAGGAGGAGGATGAGGAGGAGGAGGAGGAGGAGGGGAAGGGGGAGGATTCTGCCAGAAGATTCTACATGAGGGGCTCCACCCCGAGTGACAGCCGAGAGACCTACCGCGAGAGCTGACGCCAACACGATACATCAAAGGTGCCCTCCGACCCTGAAAAATGCGGGGCCGCACTCCTCGAGTGCGCCCTCACCGAGGTTTGGTGCGTCACCAGGGGCGGCCCCGCAAGCCACCTGGCTGGCCGTGCAGCCCGCCAAAGCGGGCAGACCACCGTAGCCCCTCCCTCCCCGAAAGTGTGGCCGTATTCCGCCGAGTGCGCCGTCCCAGAGGTGTGCGGCGTCACCAGGGGTGGCCACGCGAGCCACCCACCTGGACGTACCGCCCGCCAACGTGGGCGACCACCGTAGCCACTCCCTCTCTGCAGGGTTGCCTCACGTTTCGCACCCCTGCATCCTTGTGGAGACCCACTCCACATGCTGGCCGCCGAGCCCCGCTTGAAGGATCGGCACCAGGGCCGTCTCCAGGAGCGCCTCCGCCTCCTTCAGCTGGAGCTCGAGCTTGTCCACCTCTTTTCTGCCGCACCTTTTCTGCGCAGAAGAGGCCCTCCTTCGTGTCGTACAGGGTCACCTCCATGTCGGGCCGAGCGGTCTCCTGGGCCTTCCCGTTGCCGTCGCGCGTGTCCGACACCGTCTCCTCCTCGTCGGCCTTGCGGTTTGGGTCGCACTCGATGCTCTTCTTCATCGGCTCGCCGATCCCCTCGGAGACGTTCTCGGCCTTCTCTTTGTGGAAACGGGTGTTCTCCAGGTTCAGCACGTCGCCGTCGCACATGGCCGTGACCCAGTCTTTCGCCTCCTCTCCTCGTAGTTGCGGTGCACCGCCTCGGGGTCGCAGTTGGTCTTCCCCTTGTGAAACCAAGTGTGCTCTTCAGGACCAGGGCGTCCCCGTCGCACATGGCTGAAGCCAGCACCCTCAACTCGTCGGTGTTCTTGCGGACTGGGGCATGCTTGATGTCCCTCTTCCTCCGCTCCTCCTGCGTCTCGAAGTCGGGCGGGAGCTCGGGGGCCGTCGTAGCCACCTGACTGCTGGCGCCGCCGTCCGACTCCGTGTCGGTCCTGCCGTGCCCGCGCAGCGGCGGGAATCGCGGGACCGCGGGGAGCCCCAGCGCCTCCCTGGGGGGCGCCTCGACGTGTTTGCCGTGCTCCTTCTCCCCCACCGCCGCCGCCTGCACCACGACCTCCGGCATCTGAGCGGCCCCGCCCGCCGCCAGAGTCACCAGGGCGGCATCCCGCGCGCACGGCAGCGGTGCCGCCGCGGGCGGGGACTGGTCGTGCCTGGCATGGCCGCCTCGGCGGCCCACGCGGCGCGCCGCCTCGGCCGCCTGCACCTGACCCTCCGCGTGCAGGGCATGCGCGAGGGTCCCTGCGCCGAGCGGCCGCACGCCCGAGGCGGCGTGAGCGGCGGCCTGCACCTTCAGCTCCTCCTCCGTCGCCTCCCGTCGCTGCGCCTAGCCACCACCGACACGGCGCCTCGGCCCTGCCCGCGCGAGCACCCCGCCTCCGCCGCGTCGCAGGCCTCCGCCGCGGAGACGAGCGCGCTTGCACGCCGCCGTCGCCCCCTCGGCGCGGGCGCATGCGGCCGCCGCCCGGCAGGTACGCCCAGCGGCGCGCGCGGAGGCCGCCGCCAGCGCCATGCTGCGTAGCGCAGCTCCCTGGCGCCAGCCTGGCGCCCAAGGCTGGCTTGAGCCAAAATGGCTACGGAGGAGGAGGAGGAGGAGGAGGACGGCATGGGCGCAGTGTGACGAAACGCTCGGCGCGAAGGCGATGACCGCATTGAAAGTTGTGGTGAAGACGCTGGGGAATTTGATCAGCAGGAGGAGGAGGAGAAGGAGCAGGATGAGGAGGAGGAGGAGGAGGAAGAAGAATACGAGGTGGTGCGCGGGAAACATGGACGAGGAGGGCGAGTTGGCCTCGGCAGACCAACCGTGAGGACGAAACTGCTGACGATCTCACAGCAGAAGCCCCCCAGTGGAGCCGCGCGTCAGGAGTCAAGAGCGACCTGGTCCGCCGCGCAGAAGGTCTGGTGCTGCGAGAACAACGGCCGCCACCCCGCGCAGGAGAAGGGAGAGGAGGAGTAACAGAGATGATGTGATGATGCGAAGCCAACGAGGATAATGAGGCTGATATTGGGGAAACCGGCGAAGAGGAGGAGGGGGAGGAGGGAGAGGATGGGGAGAAGGGGGAGGAGGAGCAGCCCTCTTGGGGTCGTCTTGGGGGCCCTCTTGGGCCGTTCTGGGGCCGTCCTGAAGGGCCTCTTGTGAGATCTTTCTGGGCTCTTGGGCCGTCTCGGGCGGTCGGAAGGCCGAGCAGAAGTAAACGCATCCTTTAAACAAACCGAAGGGAATCCCATGAGTTTGGCATCTTCGGGCCTTCCTGGAGGACCTCTTGGGCCGTCTTGGAGGCCTGTTAGGGGCCTCTTGGGCCGTCTTGGGCCATCTTAGAGCCATTTTAGACAGTTTTGGTGGGCTCCTGGCCCGTCTGGCGCCGTCGGAAGCTGTCTTGGGGGCCTCTCTGGGCCGACTGGTTGCCCTCTTGGGGTGCTCCAGGGCCGTCTTGGAGGCCTCTTTGGCCGTCTTGGGGCCCTCCCTGGGAGGCCTCTTGGGCGATCTTGGGGCGATCTTTCGGGGCTCTTTGGCCGTCTCGGGCCGTCGGAAGGCCGAAAAGCAGCAGATACCCAAACCCTTCAAGAACCTTGAGAAATCAATGATTTTGACCTCTTCGGGCCTTCCTGGAGGCCCTCTTGGAGGCCTCTTGGGCCGTCTTTGAGACCTCTTGTGGGCCTCTTGGGTCGTCTTGGGCCATCTTAGAATCATGGTGGGTTGTCTTGGTGGGCTCCTGGCCCGTCTGACGCCGTCGGAAGCTGTCTCGGGGCCCCTCCCTGGGCCGTCTTGGAGGCCCTCTTGGGGTGCTCCAGGGCTGTCTTGGAGGTCATCTTGGACGTCCTGGAGACCTCTTGGGCCGTCTTTGGGCCTTCCTGGGGCGGTCTTGGGGGCCTCTTGGGCCGTTCTGGGCCCATCTCGGAGGCCTCTTGGGCGATCTTGGAGCGATCTTTGGGGACTCTTGGGCCGTCTCGGGCCGTCGGAAAGCGGAAAAGAAGCAAATGCCAAAGTCCTTCAAAAACCATAGGCAAATCAATGATTTTGGCCTCTGTGGGCTTTCCTGGAGGACCTCAGGGAGGCCTCGTGGGCTGTCTTGGAGGCCTCTCGGGGGCCTCTTGGGCTGTCTTGGAGGCATCTTGGGCCGACTTGAAGGCATCTTGGACCCTCCTGGGCCGTCGTGGAGGCCATCTTGGACCATCTTGGGCGAACTTGGAAACCACCTCGGGCCATCTGAGCAGTCTTGAAGGCCATCGAGGGCCATCTTGGAGCGGGAAAGGCATTGACCCGGGGATTTTTTTTGTGGACGTTGTGCTCGTTTCTGGGCTTCACTCGGCTTTGTGCGCTCTTCCGAGCGGCCGGCGGGCACGCCGGGCACCCCTGTGGCAACCAACAGGGAGCGGCGGATCTCCTCCTCTCTTGGGCGGACTTGGAGGCCATGTTGGAGGCCATCTTGGGCCAACGTGGCCATCATGGAGGCCATCTTGAGCAGTCTTGGAGGATTTTTCCGCAATTGAGGTCCTTTCCCGGTGGCCGGCGGGACGGGCCGATGAAGCCCCAGGGGGAGTTTTTTTGGAAAAAAACACCAAAACCGAAATCGTCTAGCACGCCAGGCACCCCTGCGATGAATCGACAGGGGGCGGCGGATCGAAGATGCCTACGGCGAATCACCGCCGCCCCCTGCCTTTTTGGAAGCGCCTCTGTGGCCGAACGTTGAGGCCAGACCTGCCAAGCTATCGGACCATGTGTTCCCCGAATCGGTTTGGAAAGCCTTCGGGGAACACGTGGGCATCTTGAAGGTCCTTTTGGCCGTCTGGAGGCCATTTTGACCCTTTCGGGTCTTCTTGGAGGACGTCTTGGAGGGCTCTTGGGCCGTCTTGGAGGCCACCTTGAGCGTCTTGGAGGCCTCTTGGGCCGTCTTGGCGGCCTCTTGGGGCCGTCTTGGAGACCTCTTGGGCGATCTTTGGGAGCACTTGGGCCGTCTCGGGTCGTCGGAAGGCCGAACAAAAAGCAAACACCACAATCCTTCAAACACTCATGGGAAATCAATGATTTGGGCCGTTTCGGCCCTTCCTGGAGGCATTCTTGGAAGCCTCTTGGGCCGTCTTAGGCCATCATAGGGCCATCTTCGGCCGTTTCTGTGGGCTCCTGGCCCGTCCGACGCCGTCGGAAGCCGTTTGGGGGGCCCCTCTGGGCCGACTTGGGGCCCTCTTGGAATGCTCCAGGGCCGTCTTGGAGGCCATCTTGGGCGTCGTAAAAGCCTCCTGGGTCGTCTTGGGGGCCTCTTGGGGCCGTCTTGGGGGCCTCTTGGGCCGTTCTGGGGCCATCTTTCTGGGAGGCCTCTTGGGCGATCTTTCGGCGATTTTTTGGGGCTCTTGGGCCGTCTCGGGTCGTCGGAAGGCCGAACAAAAAGCAACTGCCGCAGTCCTTCAAAACCATGGGAAAATCAGTGTTTTCCTGGAGGCCCTCTTGGAGGCCTCTTGGGCCGTCTTGGGCCAGCTTCGAGCCAACTTCGGCCATCTTGGTGGGTTCCTGGCACGTTTGACGCCGTCGGCAGCCGTCTTGGGGGCCTCTCTGAACCTACTTGGGGTCCTCTTGGGGCGCTTCAGAGCCGTCTTGGAGGCCATCTTGGGCGTCTTGGAGGTCTCTTGGGCCGTCTTGGGGCCCTCTTGGGGTCGTCTTGGAGGCCTCTTGGGCCGTCATGGGGCCCTCTTGGAGGCCTCGTGGGTGATCTTTGGGCGATCTTGGGGGCCTCTTGGGCGTTTTGAGCCGTCAGAATGTTGAGAAGAGGCATATGCCCAAATCCTTCAAAAACCTATGTAGAATCAATGAATTTGGCCTCTTCGGGCCCTCCTGGAGCACCTCTCGAAGCGTCTGGGGGGCCTCTTGGGGGCCTCTTGGGCCGTCTTGGGCCATCTTGAGGGCATCTTAGGCCGCCTTGGGTGCACCTTGGGCCGTCTTGGAGGCATATTGGGGCCTTCTTAGCCGTCTTGGAAGCCATCTTGGGCAATTTTGGGTCATCTTGGGCCGTCTGGGGCAGGAAAACCGTTGGCAACCACCTCCTCCCGGGACCCCGGCGGGACGCGCCGGAGCCCCAGTGGGAGTTCTTTGGGAAAAAGAGCCGAAACCGAAATCGTCTAGCACGCCAGGCACCCCTGCGATGAATCGACAGGGGGCGGCGGATCGAAGACGCCTACGGCGAATCACCGCCGCCCCCTGCCTTTTTGGAAGCGCCTCTGTGGCCGAACGTTGAGGCCAGATCTGCCAAGCTATCGGACCATGTGTTCCCCGAATCGGTTTGGAAAGCCTTCGGGGAACACGTGGGCATCTTGAAGGTCCTCTTGGCCGTCTGGATGCGGGCCTTCTTGGAGGACGTCTTGGAGGGCTCTTGGGCCGTCTTGGAGGCCATCTTGAGCGTCTTGGAGGCCTCTTGGGCCGTCTTGGGGGCCTCTTGGGGTCGTCTTGGAGACCTCTTGGGCGATCTTTGGGAGCACTTGGGCCGTCTCGGGTCGTCGGAAGGCCGAACAAAGAGCAAATGCCACAATCCTTCAAAAACTAATTGAAAATCAATGATTTTGGCCTTTTCGGGCCTTCCTGCAGGCCCTCTTGGAGGCCTTTTGGGCTGTCTTGGGCCATCTTAGGGCCATCTTCGGCCGTTTTGGTTTGGCTCCTGGCCCGTCCGACGCCGTCGGAAGCCGTTTGGGGGGCCCCTCTGGGCCGACTTGGGGCCCTCTTGGAATGCTCCAGGGCCGTCTTGGAGGCCATCTTGGGCGTCGTAAAAGCCTCCTGGGCCGTCTTGGAGGCCATCTTGAGCGTCTTGGAGGCCTCTTGGGCCGTTCTGGGGCCATCTTGGAGGCCTCTTGGGCGAACTTTGGGCGATCTTTTGGGACTCTTGGGCCGTCTCGGGCCGTAGGAAGGCCGAAAAGAAGCAGATGTTAAATCCATCATAAACCAAAGGACAAGTAGTGTTTTTGGCCTTTTCCGGCCTTCCTGGATGCCCTCTTGGAGGCCTCTTGGGCCGTCTTGGGCCAGCTTCGAGCCAACTTCGACCATCTTGTGGGCTCCTGGCACGTCTGACGCCGTCGGGAGCCGTTTGGGGGGCCTCTCAGAACCGCCTTGGGGTGGGTCCTCTTGGAGCGCTCCAGGGCCGTCTTAGAGGCCATCTTGGGCGTCTTGGAGGTCTCTTGGGCCGTCTTGGGGCCCTCTTGGGGCCGTCTCGGAGGCCTCTTGGACCGTCATGGGGCCCTCTTGGAGCCCTCTTGGGTGCTGTGGAGGCGATCTTGGGGGCCTCTTGGGCCGTCTTGTGTCGTCGGAATGCCGAGAAGAAGCGAATGATTTTGGCCTCTTCGGGCCCTCCTGGAGGACCTCTTGGAGGCCTCTTGGGCCGTCTTGAGGGCCTCTGGGGGGCCTCTTGGGTCGTCTTGTGCCGTCTTGGACTCTCTTGGGCCGTCTTGGAGGCCGTCTTGGACCATCTCGGGCGGACTTGGACGCTATCTTGGACCATCTTGGAGGGACCCCGGCGGGACGCGCCGCAGCCCCAGGGGGAGTTCATTTTGGGAAAGAAGCAAAACCAACACCGAAACAATTTGGCACGCCAGGCACCCCTGTGGCAAGCCGACAGGGGGCGGCGATCCGAGTGGTCTTCGGCCCATCCCGCCACCGTGTTTGGGTTGTGGGTCTGAGGCCTCTTGTATATGTGTTGGGGTGTCGTGGGGAGCCTCTCGGGGGCTTATTGCAGGCGGTTTCGGCGCCTCTTGAGGGCCTCTTGGGGCCTCGTGTGGTATCTTTGGGGCCTCTTGGAGTCCTCTTTGGCGCTTCTTGGGCGCCTCTTGGGGCCTCCTGGGGGCTTCTCGAGGCTCCTCGGAGCGCTTCTTGGGCCATCTTTGAGCTTTCTCGGGCCGTCTTGGGGCCCTCTTGGAGGCGTCTTGGGCTGTCTTGGGGCGG